TACAGATGTGGTGTGTTACTGTGAGGCTACAGGTGTGTGTTACTGTGTCCAGTGGGTGTGCAGAATCTGAACTCAGGTCCTAATGAATATATATCAGGCTTTTATCTCTGAATATGTTTCCCAACCCTAAGAAGTCTTTTTGTAAGCTATGAAATTCTGAGACTGCCGGGAAAGCTATGGCTTTGGAGAGATTGGGAAGGCCTGGTTTCTGCATCCTTGTAAGCAGCTGTGGAGCAACGCACACTCTGTGCTTTTACCAGTGCAAGTACTCAGAGCCACAGCCTGATTACCATCTGTGTGAGAAGAGACACTGACTTCAATAACGAACTAATTAGGGTTCAGTCCTTCCTTTCAGTCGCAGCTCAGCAAATCCCCACTGCCATGGTCTTATCAGCCTGTGTATTTAAACTTAAGTCCTGTCATAATGTTCTTTCATTTACAGATGGAGAAAAACAATTTGGATGAACTAAACAAAACCAAGAGCGTTAAAAAGAAACCAAAGCAGTTAAATCCTTTTCACTTAAAAGTGGGTCATGAAGTTTTAAGACAAAGGAAAAACTGGTGGAAAGATGGCCGTTTCCAGTCTGAATGGGTTGGTCCTTGTGTCATAGACTATATTACAGAAAGTGGATGTGCTGTCCTGAGAGATAACACTGGGACCAGGCTTAAAAGGCCTATCAAAATGTCCCACCTTAGACCTTATGTGAGAGAGTCCGCTGAGCAAGGTAAGTGTTTGTAGCTCCTCTTAGGGTGCTATCTTTTCTGCAAAGAGAGACTAGAATTTCAAACAATCATTTCTTTTTTGGTTAAATTGCTTTCTCCTCTAAATTTTATAGTATTTGATAGAGTTTTAGTTTTCCCTAGTAATCTGATTAGAGTGTACTTTTACTAACATTTTTTTAACTTTTTTTGTTGAAAATGGATTTTTTTCATATACTATATTCTGATTGCCTTTTCCCATTCTCCAACTCCTCCCAGATCCTCCCCACTTTCCCACTGGCCCAAATCTACTCTTTCTCTTTCTTATTAGAAAATAAGCAAGCATATAGTAGCAGTAGTAGTAGTAGTTTATTAAAAACAAACAGGATTTTTGTTTGGGCTTCTATTAACTTTTCATAACTGCTGTGAAAAATGCCGAACCTTTTTCAAAAAAGGAAAGATTGCACCTACAGTTTTGTATAATATTCTGCTACTTTTGCCTCATTTTTATGTGGAAAAACAGCAGCTATGATTATTTAGTGCCAAAGACAAACATATTGTCCAGAATCTAATTGTAAGATAAATAAGGGAACTTTATTTCCTTTTAATGTAGCTTCATAATTAAGTCATAAGTTGGGATGAGTAAGGGTGTAGGATGGGAAATACTCAGAATGCTATCAGACAATAGAATTATGGCATTCCCATAATTATATACATTTAATTATATTAAATGATTAAATATAATTATAATTATTATATTCTATTATAATTATGAGAATGTTACAATGCCCAAGACTATGCCAACGGGTATTTCTTTATAGGCCTTGAATGATGTTTTGACATGGTTTTCAGATTAAGTCCCCTTACTTCTTCAATGTTGTGAGGAGCACGGGCCCTTGGTTCCATCCCGCCTGGCTAGCTTACACCTGAAATAATCACACAGAAATTGTATTAATTAAATTACTGCCTGGCCCATTAGCTCTAGTCTCTTATTGGCTAACTCTCACATCTTGATTTAACCCATTTCTAATAATCTGTCTATCACCACGAGGTCGTGGCTTACCGGGAAAGATTCAGCATGTCTGACTTGGCAGCTCCATGCCGGCTCTTTCTCTCTGACTCTCTTTCTTCCTCCCAGAATTCATTTCTGTCTCCCTGCCTACCTAAGTGCTGCCCTATCAAAGGTACAAGGCAGTTTCTTTATTCAACCAATGAAAGCAACACATAGACAAAAGAACCTCCTACACCATTTCAAGATTATTTCTTCCTACTGTATTTGCTCATTTGAACTTCTCTGAGGTAGATAAATGAGAGGATGTTATTTGGTTCTTATTTTATAATTATGCTTTTTCTGTAATGAGCATAGTACTTTGCAACATTTTCATGCATGCATATCATATACTTTGCTCATTTTGTACAATGAATAAATATTATATAAACAGAAGAAAAATGATGCATTAATATTATTTGAATGTAACTTACATCTAATGGTGATGTAATTTACTTTTTAACTATCAAAACAAGTTACTTACTAGACACAGGTAAATAACAGGCAATAAACAATGACCTAAATTCTTTTGTTGAGATATGAAGGCTTTATGGGGCTCTTCAGTGTAGTAGTTCTTACCCACTTCTGGACCCCAGCACTTTGTTAATAGCTCTTGGTACTTTTCTTTCTTGTGATGGAACCAGTTGCTGTAGTCAGAAGCTTAGCTCAGATTGTTCTAACTCCGAACACGTGGTAATTTCATCCTCCCTGTAAGTGGGCAGTATATTCATTCTGTGTGTCTTCTCACTTCAGAGCTGTTAATAGACTCTCCCTTTTACACACTAAGTGGGGGAAAAGAGATTGTATGAGTTCTTTAATCCTATCAAGATACCTCCTTCACCTTCAGAATGTATTTCCTTCTCTTGATAATATTCATTCATATGAAGTTTGCTTGTAAAATGTTGCTGCATCAAGATCTTATGCAGCATTCTTCAGTTTTCTCTTATCAGAGACATTCAGAATAGAAGTCAGCTAATTTCCATCCGAGTATGTCAGAAACAAGCAGAGAAGACAGCTATCTACGTAAAAGCAATATGCTTCTCGCCGCATGTTTAAGCTGTCTAGAATGTTTCTTCTAGTAATATAAGAAAATGTAGTGTTACTATTGGTGTGAACACACACATTTGAAGTTTGTAAGTGGATTTATTTTTTAAGTTTCCTACCAACCATGCTCTGAACTAGTTCTTCAATAGTGTTTGGTCCTTTGTGTGTGTGTGTGGTGTTTCATTTGCAGAAATACAAAGGAAATTTGGTGTATTCCATCTTTTTCCTCAGCAACATGCATTTCCCTAAATACCTTTCCCTCAGCAGCTGACCCTGAAGAGTCCCCAAAGTGAATTTAATGAAAACAGTCTCTTTAGCCATCAAACATTTTTATTTGACATGAATATAAAAATCCGATATCCCAAAGGAATTGAAGTATCTGTTTATATCTGTCATATTACTCTGTACTGCTGTTGACTTCTTGGCTGTGTTAGAGTCACAGTCTAAAACAGGTGGACTTTTATTGCCAAGTTCCCGTCGTTCTTATCTGGAACATAACACTGAGCTAACACATCCAGTACTGGGTTAGAGGTATTTGCCGTTGCTATTTTAAGCAGGCCTGTTTGCTGTTTTGTCTGATTTGATGCTGAACACTTTTAAGCTCATTATTTTGGTTATAATTTTTTAAAAATATACTAGTATCCCTTTGTAATTGTAATCTCATTTTAAAGGAATAATTTTAGTGCTGACCTGCTATCCCATCCAACACAGTCTGGCTTTTAATTTATTTGCTTGATTGATAATAGATTTGGGTCTACTTCACCAAAGTTTTAGTCTCATTCTTAAAAAAAAAAAGAGCCTATTTATGAAATAATTTTTCACTGTGCAAGTTTCATATTGCTGCCATAACAATTTGCAACAGACTTAGTGCTTCAAACAACAAAACTTATGTACTTTAGAATTCCTACATGGGTATTAGTGGGCTGTTACTAAGTCATTGGCAGTCCTGTTTCTAGAGTATCTAGAAGAGAATGGATTTCCTTGTCCTTTCTAGGTTCTATGTCAGTGGTCTCAACCTCCCTAATGCGGCCACCCTTTAATACAGTCCCTTATGTTGTGTTAATGCCAACCATAAAATTATTTTGTTGCTACTTCATAACTAGTGTTTCTGCTGTTATGAAGTGTAATCTAAATATCCGGTGAGCAGGGTATCTGATATGCAACCCCTGTGGCCCCCAAAGGGATCACAACCCACAGGCTGAGAGCCACTGTTCTAGCTGCTTCCTTATCCTGGTCCTTCTCTTCTGTTCTCAAAGCCAGTGATGCCGCATGTCCCACTTACCTCCCTCTTCTCCATTTGAGAGCCTTTGTCCTTCGACCTGCCCAAATATTTTAAAATAATTTCACTATTTTTAAGATCAGATCAGAGGCAGCTTTAATTTCATGACTACCCAAATTCCTTCATGCCATGTAAAGTTACATGTCCCCTGGGTACAGAGATTGATGGGTATACGAGACTATTAGTGTGCTGATGACAGTTAGCAGTCTCATTAATAAAACAATGTGTCGTGATGTCATAGTGTCCTAATGCTTTATGACACTAAACCCATGGTTTCCACATTATTAGTATTATAGTTTCCTTATAGCTACATACTCTCCAGACCCAAAGCCTATCCAGTTCATTACTGGATATATTGATATTATTATATATTGATATTATAACAATAATAGTATAGTATCAAATTACAGTTTTCTTATCATGGAAAGGATATATTACAAGTACAATATGGTATAAGTTTGAAAATTATCAGACAATTTAGTTATTTTGACATCTCACATAAGAATAAGAAAGCTAACTCAATGAGAAACCTAATTCACCTAAATCATTCAAATTTTATGATCATTAAATGTAGATTCCTTCTTAAAAATTTAAATATCTATTTTCTAACATTAAATTTTTTATTCCTTGAAACCACATAAGAGAAAGTTTGTAAAAGCATCTTGAAAATGGCTTAAGTTCCAAAAAACCTGGAGACATTTTTCAGCCTTTTCAAAGTTGAAGTTACTACCTTTGATAAATGTGTTTTCATCATAATCATAACTGAATCAATAGAATGAGAAAAGAAAACTGTGTATTACAGTATATTTTGTATAATGTAACTTGGTAGAAAACTCTTTGAATCCGGTGTTTGTCCCTGCCTTAAAAGTAAAAATGTTGAAATTCTTTTCTGTATCCTTTCCTCGGGATTCTTGTATATCCATGTCAGTATTATCCAATGACACAAAATTTACGTGACATGTAGTTTTAAAGTTTCTATTAGCACATTTTAAATAGAAAAAGATGAAAATGGCGTCTCACTTTATTTAACAATATATGGAAATTATTGGATCTGCATACTTGGGAGGTCCTAAAGAGTCTGTCTTTTGATAATCTATATTGAATCACATTTGAACTGGGTCCAGTTAGACTGTAGTTAGAATTGAAACATATTTGGTCCTTATGGATGAATGAGATTTTTTTACTATATGAACTGACCTGGACATTTTCACAGTAGTTCTTATAAGTATGATCCATACTGTGCATGGTTTTGTTATAATAAGATACTTTAAGAGCCATCATTTATGGAAAGGAAAAATGCATGTGTTTGTATAGCATACATATATAATAAGTACATACAAAGATATTTACATGTATAATCTCTCTCTCTCTCTCTCTCTCTCTCTCTCTCTCTCTCTCTCTCTCTCTGTGTGTGTGTGTGTGTGTGTGTAATGTTCCCTCTCAATAATAGATGATGTTGGTAAGATTTTTTTCCCAAGGCCAAGTAACTGAAACAAGCCTAAACTTAAGTCCCTGAGCACAGATTCAAGAAATCAACTTCTGAGAGCTTTGCATCTAGATACATTTTCTTCACTGATTCATATTTACTGAGCATAGTTTTGTAAAATAAACCAACCTAGAATACTGTGGGGTTGGCTGTTTGTCTAGGGTTACAATAAACTAACCTACTCATTTATATGAAAAAAATTATAGAAAACCTTTCCTTCATCAACCATCTCTGAAAAACTCATTGTAGATTTTCTAGGTGTTGTGGTATCTGCGATCAGCTATGATCTTGCTTAATATACCTTAGATGCTACGGTGTCTGCCATCAGTGATGATGTCATCTAACATGTAGACATTGAAATTATGGAATTCCTCATGAATATTTTAAACTCAACAACACTTTCTATCATACCTAGCCTTTTAATTGAGCTTATGAAATATCTGGCCTTTTGTATTAAGCATAATTCAATAAGTAAGCTGCCATGTTAATTTTCTAATAATAGTCTTCCTTTTAAGTTCATTGACCCTTGTCCGTCTTCCTGATGCTTTTAGTGAAAACAGTCGTCATCAGCTGAATGATTTGTAGTTGGTCTTCCAAAGTTGCTCCTTGTGTGCATCAGTTCTCCCTCACCAGCATACAACTCATCATTCTCTTGCCCTTGCAGTTCTGTCTACTTTTATTCCCCCACAAATCATTTATCTTCTGAATTTTATATTCAGTCTGAACACCACATACTCTTTCATGAGAATTAGTAAAGTGTAGTATTTTGTATAATAATGAACTAAATGACTGTCTAAGCCCAAGCTTAAGTACTAAGGAAAACAGGCCAATTAAACCCTCCTGCTTGTCTCTTCAAAGGAAGGAGGTGTTTGCCTGTTTTCCACCCAGAATGCTGGAAATGGATGTAGTTTATTACCTGATGATATTTTGCTATCTGTAGGGCCAGGCTTCACCCAAATCCACCAGACTTGTTTGTTTATCCCCGACCCCCCCCCCCCCCGCTAGATTTTGAGCATTGCCTCTCAGTCAATACAACTCATCTTTATGAGCAATGTCACTTTTTACAAGAGATGTTAGTTGTGCTTTACAACAGCCTAGGTAGGTAGCTTTTGTTAATCTTCCAGCCAGACCAATCCTGACTCCTGCAGGCTATTTGGCTTACCTCAGTAATTCTCCCTAGACTCTTATCTTGATTGTTTCTGAGTCAACAGTACCCATCCTTATGTAAAAAACTATATCTACTTTATAAAAAGTTGCAATGTAAATATGCCTTAAACTTTGTTGTGCACATGGGATTGAGTTAATTATCAGGAAACTTCTTTCTAAAAATGTGCTATGCCTTAAATGTGACTAAAATAAACTGCGTGGTGTCAGACTCTAGAAGTTTGAACCAGCCAGGCTAAGTCGTGCTCGATCAGATTTCCTTCTTGTCTCTCTTAGATCATTCCTCTGTTTTAAAGAGACTCCCACATAAGCCTATTTATGCCGCCTGTTTATGTGTGAACTTCTAGAGACGGATTATTTTCCCAAACAAACTACCAATTCTGGTGTGATCCCCACTGATCTCTGATCTAAATGGGCAATTAGTCTTCTTTTCCTACACTTAGACTGGAGGGTTCTATAAACCATTAAAATCTTCAGGAGAATCCGTTCATGTTTGGGAGACAATCCAGAAAAAGAATGCATCAGTTCTAATTAATGCTGACATTAATCAGCTATGGTAGATGAGTTCCTTTTGTAATGAATTAAAATAGCAGACCTGGAAGAATCTTTTTTCTATTGTATTCTTTATATTGAAGGAGGTTTCTGTTTTGTTATTAGTTTAACAACTTATTTTAAATGTGTTTTTCAGGGAGTTAATGAATATTTTGCTATAGTATGACAAAATACTGACAAGGAAAAGTTCCCTGTTGAGTATAAATGAGGTAGATCTTAGATTAGGTAGATCTTGAACATTCCTGAGGTTTTTGCTATCAGATTCAACTTAAATGAAGGTTAGCTGCTTCTTTGGAGCTTGCCTTCCTACACATTCCTGTCACATGAGTCAAATATGGGCTACTTTATCTTCATCTATTTTATAGCTTTGTATTATAACTCATTAATGTAATTGTACTACTGTGAATTCTGTATAAATTGGAAGGCATCGGAAATTAGAAATATAAGAGTTTAGCAATTCATTTGGCTAAAATACCCTTATCAATTCACACAAATATGCTTTGTATATGCATATTAAGGATATCAGTATCAAAATTATAGTTCTATAATTTTGTTTCAACCTGTATCACTCCAGCTCTTTGTCCTGTACAGATAATGTGGACCAAGGACCACTCAAGGACATAGGAAGCTTTGTTTCAATATCTTTGATGGTCCTACATTCTTTATATGTGAATACTGTATGTGTGTGTGTGTGTACATAATTTTGTTTGCTTTTGTGTATGTTTAATGTGTAAGAGGTTTGATTTGGGAGGGGGGTATTTTGTTGTTGTTTGGTTTAGTTTGGTTTTTTGAGACAGTTTTTTGATTTTGGTTTTTTAACATTCATAACTTATTTTTATTAGAATTTTGTTCCTCACTTAATGCTTAACTTTAACATGATGTTTGCCTTCAATTCTAAGATTAAACGTTCATCTCTCTCTTTCAGACAGTCTTTATCTCTTACAAGGTTCGGTAGTAGCAGATCACGACTACGTTGGATTACCTGAGATCCCAGTTGGAGCAGACCAGGCAAACATTCTGGTAGAAGATGCAGCTATTGGTGTAGCTGATGATGAGTTATTGGCATCAAGCAAGGATCATGAACTCTTGGAATACAGAAATTCCAAAATCTCTGCATTGGTAGAGGATAACAGTTCTCTTGAGAAACAGACTTTCAGTTTGCTAGATTCTTCAACTCAAGTTCTTGAGTACTTAAGTTAGTAAATACCAACGTTAATTTAAAATGTTTGCTTAGAATGTATATAGTTCTCGGTTATAAGCACTTTATCTATTAAAGTCGGCTGTATAGAAGAAATTTCTTAGTACAATATTATTAACTATATTCTGAAGGCTTATTTTAAACTTATGTAAAGTTGTGGCGCATTTGGATACAAATAAATATATGTAATAGAAATATACATTGCATAGAATTCAGGAATCTCTCAGACACAGACAAAATCCATTTGCTTCTTTGGAAATAAATTCAAGGAGAAAATTCTCAAGCCTTTTTCTAATATTGGGACTGCACTTTCTGTTCTAGTTTTTTTCAGAAATATCTCCCTCTTTGAAGTAAATTTAAACTACTTTTGGCTTAGTTAATAAATATTGAGTGAACAATAGCATGAGTGAAACATTTTTTCCTGTGACATTAGAACTTTTTAATTTGTATTTAGAGATTTACTTTTGTGTGATGTGGTTGTGTGTGTATGTGCGCACGTGTGTGTGCCTGCATGTGTTTCTGATGTGGCTTTGTGCGTGCGGGTACAGCGCCTGTAAAGACTAGAAGAAGGTGACGGACACTCTGAAGCTGAAGTTACAGATAGTTATGAGCCAGCCAGTGTGAGTACTGGGAACCAAACTTGGGTCTGCTGCGTCAGCAGGATGTATTGTAGCCAAAAGGCAAGTGACTGTCAGGGAGAGAATTAAGTCTCTGACATCATAGTACAGACCAAAGAAAAATGCTGATAGAATTCTAGAAAGAAACCGTAAAAAGAAAAATAAAGGTGTGAGTATAGTAGCCTTCTCCTGCTCTCCTCAACAGAACAGAGTCCATGAAGCGCTCCTACTGCAGTGCCTCCATGGTAAGTGAAGTGTGTATGTCCTTTCTCATCTCAGTGACGTCACTGTCTTCTGTTTCCTTGAGAGATACTAATTTGAAATTGGCCTATTTTACTTGTTCTATTTAAAGAGGCGTGTTAGCATTCAGAGTCATTTCTGAACCGCAGATTCTGAACAGCTAAAAATAAAGTTTTCCTTTCCTAAGTAATCCCTCATCAGAGTTTTGTTATGTGTGTATGAGTCATATCAGGCTGCATTGTTCTTCATGCAAACTATCCCCAAATCTTAGTGGCTTAAAACAATAAAGCCTTTTCTTGGCCACCCACATGTCCTTCTTGGTTGTCAGTGCCTGACTGCAGTTTCATCTTCAAAAATGTAGAGCGATGGAGCTTAGTTCCTGAGCTGGCACTGTGCGTCATGTCAGCGGGAGGGTGACGCGTTGACCTGAGCGCTCGATCAAAGGGGGTTTATCAAGACATGGTGCTCATCGCTACAGGAGTTAATGTCGTGTTCTGCTTGTGGGTGCAGACTTTCTTTTGTTTTGAAATTAATGATAATTTTGGCTGTGTGACTATATAAAAATTCAATGAATTTACCATCTACAAGGGTTTTTCGAGTTTACTGCCTTTGCCTACCGTTCATTTTTTTTCCCCAGGATGACCTCTTGGAACAGACCCCTGTGAGCAACCTTCTGAGGTTATTTTCATTTAAAACACCCACAGACTCTGGTCAGACTAGAAAAGGGCTTTCCCTGCTGAAATAGTTTAGAAATATTTAAAGAGGTAGCTATTTTTTCAGGTGTGTAGATACCAACTTAAGACGATGAGAATCAAATGTTATACAACCAAGGCTGCAGAATAATCACCAATTGCTGACCACCCCACCAAAAACAAGTCTATAATATAAAATGTGCCTGGAAAAGAATTCCAAACAGTTGTCTGAAAGAGTTCAAATATTCTGCATGTGAGCATTGACAACTAAAAACAAAAAGTCTGAAACAATACATGGAAAAAGGAATGAACAGTTTAACAAAAAAGAAGCTGTGATCGTGTTAATTATACTCCAGACACAGTCTAGAATCACCTGGAAAGGACATTTAAATGAGGGATTGTGTAGATTAGTGTGGCCTGTAGGCATGTCTGGGAAAGACTGTCTTCACTGTATTGTTTGAAATGGGAATGTGCGCTCACTATGTGTGGTACTCTCCCCTAGTTGTGGGGGGGAGGCTAATCTGTTGACAGTGATCTGCACTGGGATAAATGGAGGGGTACCCTTTGTGGAGAGAAAAGGCCTAAGGAATGTTCTGCTCCTAAGAAGCAACAACAACAGAGCAGCTATTACACTCTCCTTGCAGAAGATCTTTGCATTTAGTGTTGGCAGGGCTCTTGCATCTAGATATTGGTTTCCTCTCCGGAAAGGGGAGGAGCTGTTTGAGACATGTCAGAATCTTATCATATCAAAAGTGAAAAATCAGTATGCAGATTCATGAACCCTACTTATATTAAATGTAAAAATACTTTTACCCTGACGTAATCAAGTTATCAAAACCCAAAGATAGAGCCAGGCCATGGTGGCGTTTGCCTTTAATCTCAGCACATGGGAGGCAGAGGCAGGCAGGTCTACAGAGCTAGTTCTGGCATAGCTAGGGCTGTTACACAGATAAACCCTGTCTCAACAAACAAACAAACAAACAAAAAGACAGCTTATTAAATCACCAAGAAAAGAGGAACTTATCAAAGTGTACTACATCAATATGGTAAGCAACATGGCATAGGTTATTTATTGGGGTTTCTCACAGGAGCAGAGATTACTCAAAACAGCTGCATCACCAAAGCCCTCCCCGAACAAGGAGTGCAAGTCATAAAAACCCCAGAGCTCTCTGCATGACCTCTAGGCACTAGACAGATTGCAGTGTCTCTTGGCAGCTAGGTTGATTGACTTGTCGCCTCTCCCAGCAGCTGTTTACTGCATCTATATATCCTTGGGAAGGGTCCCCATGAACGCTCTCACTTTCTTTTCATCCATGTGAAACCCATTCAGTTTGCAAGTCTTTCCTTGTGGGAATGTTTCAATTCAGAAGGAAACAATCCTGGGGACAATTACCAGCATTCATGCTAATTAAGCCAATTCAGAGAATGAGTCCTTTAATAATGGCCAGACCAAGAATAGGGTATTGCCTTCAAAATCTCTTTTGCTGCCAGAGCTCAGAGGCACAGTGGTTTTAAAGATAAACCCCTCAATTACATCAGTGTTGGGGGAGGAGGATTACGTCAGTGAGGGGATCAGAGGAGCCTTATAACATCTGTCTTTCCGCAGACTGTGAATTTTCTTGTTTGATGATGGATGTGGGGGTGCACGGCAAGAACAAAAGAAACCCTAAAACAAATACCTATGTGTTTGATTGGAACTGTCACCACAGCTGCTGATACCCTTATATCCAAAGAGTCTGGAATGTTTGGGTGAGGCTTCACCCCAGCCCCTGGCATCCATTTTGGAATGCTGGGGTGGAAAGTTCCATTTCAAGCCCCCTCCCCTGGGAGTTGCCCCAATCCAGACTCCACCTCTGAGAAAGTCTGCCAAATGGTGACCCCTTCCAGGAGAGGGTCAAGACCACTCCCACAGGTTATTTAAACTGCTCCCCAGAGAATGAACATGTGGTCTTTTGTTCTTCCTTTCCCCTCTCCGTGTTTTCCCGAGGGTCACCCGGGAGCACTGGCATCCATTAAACCTGGGCTTTTTCTAATTTGGTTTGATTTTGTCTGATTTGGAGAGGCTTATCAGGCCTTATAAACTTTACACTGTGCATTTATCGTTAAGTTTTAAAGTTTTGTTTTTGTAGTTATTCATGAGTTTGGGTGGAAAGAGTGAAAAGTGGGGAGAGGGAGAGAGTGTGTCAGAGAACAATTTTGCGCAATTGTTTGTCCACCTTTATATGAGTTCTGGATATTGAACTCGGGTCATCAGACTTACATAACAAGTATTTTACCCACTGAGCCATCCTCCCTTCCCAGTTAAGTGATCATTGATAGTTTCCAAGAATATGAGATGCTGAATGTAGTCTTCAGTAAATTATCTTGGGGGAATTATCGACGCATCCTACTAATACTATGTAATAAAATAAAAAAAAATTCAAGTCAGAGTAAATTAAAGACTTACATGTAAAGTCAAAAGCTACCAGAAGCAAATTAGGGCACAGTGAACTAGGAACTACTGGCCCTACCTGGACCTGAATCAGTGGTGGACACAGATGGCAGCTGCCCCTCCACCACCCCCACCCCCACCCCGGCAACAGACTTTTGGGTCTGCAGGAGTCACAATCAACAGGAACCATCATACCAAGTGCTGCCCGAGATCTCCAGGCTCCGGCACCAAAGAGAGGAAAGACATCAGCTCCATGCCATTCCCTATGACTGGGGCAGGCACTACTCAACCAAGTATCACCTGTGACCCAACCAAAAGCCCTGGCACTGGGCAGTTGGGCACCATTGTGGTGAGAGAGTGCAGGGTGGGGATGTGGACAGAGGAAGAGGTGGAGTGGTTTGTGGGTGATGGAGAGAGGAGGGTCTGGAAAGCTGAGGTTGGTGAAGAAAGGGCTGACATGATTGGTCTGCTGGCCACCCAAAAAGAGCTATGACCAAGGCCCGGGTCTTAATGTTGCAGGGCCCTGGAACAGTCATGGAATCCTGTATTGGTGTCTGTGGCCCCTGTCACGGGGCTAGGAACCATGAGGGGTCTAGGGTCTAGGCTGCCACCTAGGGTTATGTTGCAGCCATGGGGACCATACCAGTTTGGATGGTCTACAGAGACACCCAGGGACATGGTGAGAACCTGGCCCAGGCTGTTGCTGAGGATCATGTCTGGGTCTGTGGTACCTATCTTAACAGGGTCTATGTTGATGTCCTTAGCCCATGGGCTAAGGTGTTTGGGCTGCCATCTCTGGGGTCATGTTGGTATCCCAAAGCCATACTGTTGCAGTGGTCATGTTGATCTGGGTGACCTGTGCTTCCCCTGGGACCATGGTGACATCCGAGTTCAGGCTGCTATCTAGGACCATGTCTGATTCCATGGTTCTATCACAACAAAAGGCCACATAGATGCCCAGGTTCTGGACCACAACCTGTGTCCATGAGGGCATCCGAGACCTGTAGCACACATTCTAGTTGATCTTAATAATAAAAACCCAGAGTCAGATAAAGAGGTTAATGCTGAAGATCAGAGAAGCAGAAAGGCCAGTCACTAGAGAGTTCTTTTACCTCTACCAGTGCTTATACTGCAGGGGCAATCTTGTCCTCAGACTGCATCTCCCAACTCCATCTGTCTCCACCAAACCCCAGACTGCAACTGTCTCCCCCAAACCTCAGATTGCCTTGAGCTCCTCGCCTCCTTCCACCTTATATTCCTTTCTCCACCCAGCCATATCACTCCTATCTCCATCTCCCTAGTACTGCAAATAAAGATGTGTGATTCCAAATCCAGGGATCATGTTTGTGTGAGCTCTGTTTATATTTTAAATAGATTTAATCTTGTGTAGCTCAGGGTGGTCTTGAACTAACAGAGATCC